GCAGTTTCCTTTGTATTCCTTAAGTTAGATCATACTCCCATTGACTTCCCTGGGAGCAGAACTGGGACTTAAGTTTATGAAACCACAGTAACTGGTACTTGTATAAATGCCTTAGTGGAAAGAAGACAGAGAGAGACCATAGTCCCTACAGCAAAATTAGTGAGGGAGCTGGGCAGACGTAAAATTTTGGCTGACATAGATGCAAGTGGCTTTTCAAGAAAAGAGCAGAAGGAAGAGACCCTGGCACCAGTGTCAGGATCTAGTTCTTCCCTCATAGGGTTGCCATACTTTCACAAAAAGTACAAAAAATGGATGGGAAAAAAATTGGTTGATCAAAAAAAAAGCCCAACAAAAAAAAAAAAACCCATAAAAAAAAGTCAATGCACCTTTAAATCCCCACGGTCTCTGCTCCCCTCACTCTGCCAGATGGGGGAAGAATGAGGATGTCCCATGCGGCATTCCATCTGAGAAAAACAGAAAATACCGGACATTTTACATGTCTGGTATCTTCTGGTTTTTTACTGGACAGAGGCCGCAAATACTGGATTGTCTGGGCCAATACCGGACATCTAGCAACCCGACCTGCCTACTTAGGTCCTGATCCTGCACACACTTGAAAATCTGCTTAACTGTTATGAACTTGTGTATACATTTTATAACATGTATAAGCATTTGCAAGATCAAAGCTGTGATGTGGTAAAAGGAGCCAGCAGCAGCTTGTTCATCTCACCTGGGCTTCTCTTATTAATCAGAGAAACAGGAGAACTTTTCCACAAGAAGCAAACACAAAACAAATAGAAACCTGATCATGTTTCTCACATTACATTGTAAGACACCACAGAGTCAGCATATTCCTAGGACTGTGTTTAGTGTCATCCTATAAATATGATAGATTTAGATGGACTAAGCTGATTCTGTCTTCTTTCTGCAATCCTCACTAAACAGGCCAAAAGCATTACACGTACTCACCTTTTACCAGTTCCAAACTAGGGATGTAAAATCTTGTTTAACAGGTTAAATGCAATGTTTAACCCGGGCTGAAGTGGCTCCCCACCCCCATCCCGGGGTGAGTGCTGTTCCAGCCTCTGCCAGGCCCCACAGGGCTGAAGTAGCCCACCTGCCTGCAGTGGGTGCAGATCTGCTCCAGTCCCCACTGGTTAACTGGAACCAGCTACCAGTTAACCATTCACAATTCCTATTCCAAACAACACTATTTTTTCCACTTAAAGTCTTCCTATCCGCATTCAGCCTTGCTATATCAGCTTTGACCTTCTTCCACATAGGCTTTCAACAATCAGGATCTATTCTGTAATACAAGAGGCCTCAGAGATGTGACTGCCCAAATTCCGACCTCCTGTACTTACAACCATTGTTGTAAATGCGGAAGGGGCCAGAACCCTGACGTCCTCGGCACACATTTACGACGGCGCACAGTGCCTACTGTAAGTGCGGGTTCAAGTTATGACGCCCCTGACTTGCGACACTTTCTCCAGAACCAATCACGTCGCAAGTCGGGGGAATCCTGTACCATGTAGGACAAAGATGATGTCACTTTACAGAATGATGGTTTGGACCAGGATTATAGTCACTGTATTAAGAAGTTAAATCAATAAAAACCAGATGATTTAGCAATTTTCTAGAAATTACACATTCTAGTCCAAAAAGAAGCCCTAAGAATAATACTTCAGAGTAGAGATGTGAATGTATAACTGTGCTTATTGGTTCACAGTTACACACAGGCTCCTGCCTCACTTCTGGAGAGCTGGCTGTCGGATGCAGCAGCGTGGGGGTGGCAGCCAGCTCCCCGGGAGCAGGGCTGCAGGTAAGAGCAAGTGTGTGCTGGGAGTCAACTTAAAAGCTGTCTCTTGGGGAACCAGCTGCTGCCCTACAGTGTTGCCTGCTGTATCAGAGGCAGTAGAACAGAGCAGCAGCCAGCTCCCTGGGAGTATGGCCGGTAGACAGGAGCTGGTATGCACTGGGAACTGGTTTAAAAGCCAGCTTCCAGAGCAAAGCGCACCAGCTTCTGGAGAGCCAGTTGCTGTTGAGGGCGCCTATAACCACTGAGTTTTTCAGTGGTTACATAATTACCCATTTTTTAACATCCCTACTTCACAGAGGTAATTTCCTACAGCTTCTGAATTAGACTGGAAGTATTCTCATTCTAGCAGTCTGATTCCCCCTGCACACACCCCCTGTATTATAGTATGCACTTTTTTTTGTAGAGTGTGGTATGTTAGTCTATCTATAAACTAAAGATGTAAAAAAAAAAATTTTAACTGTGTAACAGGATCTTTCGAAAAAAAGGCTTTTCTTTTCAAAAGAACCGCGTCTAGACCATGGTTTCACTTCTGAAATAGTGTTTTTCGACAGAATGCCGTGACACGATTATGCAAATGAAGCACAGGAAAGTCAAATCCCAGCTTCATTTGTAATTTAAATATGTCTAATTTACATCCCTCTTTCGAAAAGAGGGATGTAATCTAGACATACCCTTACATCCCTCCTGTAAACATGGCAGCCTGCACAGCAAAAGCCCACTCTGAAACTCCTCTGATGAACTTAAGGCCAACTGTTGTGTAATACACCAATCATAATACACCTGTGACACTGACAGCTTAGTTATCTTGACACGGCAATATGCTATTTTAATATCTACCGGTACCTGTTTATTATTACCTATGACATCTAGATCTTTCACCATCAGAAACAACTGATGCATAATTAATGTAACTTTCTAATGTTTAATAACTGAATCCTATAGACTACATTAATCACTAATACTGCTTCTCTCTTAAGTGCACAAAACATGTACAGGCAGTCCCCGACATACGAACGGGTTACGTTCCAAACACCTGGTTGTAACTCGATTTGGTCGTAAGTCGGAAATACCCTTAAACGCGCCTCCCACGCTATTCGAAAAACTTGACATACATGGTTCTCAACTCAAAAATATTATAATGGGGTTAATGGGAGGTTGGTCGTAAGTACGGATGGTCATAAGTCGGTGTATTCGTAAGTCGGGGAGTGGCTGTACAGGCAGTCCCCGGGTTACGTACAAGATAGGGACTGTAGGTTTGTTCTTAAGTTGAATTTGTATGTAAGTCGGAACTGGTACATATTGTAGGGGAAACACTAGCCAAACATTTCTCCAGAGCTCAGTTTTATTCTCCCACACCTCACTTCCCTCAGTCCTTTATTCTCAAGCTGAGGTGTCTGCTGAGAAAAGCCGCTCCGTGTCTCCCCGGTCTGCTGGGGGGGGTGCTAGCTTTGCGTCTCCCTGGTCTGCTGGGGGGAAGCAGCTAGCGCGGGGTTGCCTCACCCCGTTTGTAAGTAGGGATCCGATGTAAGTCGGATCCATGTAACCCGGGGACTGCCTGTATTCAACAATTTGTCCTTACAATGTAATGCATGTTCCAACCAACTACAAAAGATTCTAAAAATAAAACATAATTTGATGTTTAAGAATGCAAACACAGTTTTGAACTTTTCCATATAACTATCTCAGTATGAGAGAAAAATGGATCACACTGTGTGGTTTTTTGTATTTCAGTAAATATAAACATGTAAAAATTGTATGGTAATGTAGCTCAAATAGTCTTTGCAATATTTGTGTGACTACTAAGATCAGATGAAATGCTAATGAGCAGCTAGGAAAAAGTCTAGTTGTATTTGCAATTACAAAGCAAAAATTAATTTTAAAATACATGTGTACATATGGATATTTTGGCCAAACAAAATTTCCAACGAAGATCTACAGTATCAGTGTAAACAAGAAGACATGGCCACTATAATTATGAAAAGACGCTGGCGATGGATAGGTCATGTGTTACGAAGAGAAGACGGATCTATTACGAAAATTGCACTCCACTGGAAACCAGATGGGAAGAGAAAGAGAGGAAGGCCAAAAACAACCTGGCACCGAACGGTAGAACAAGAATTAAAAGACCATCATCATACTTGGGGAACAATAGGCGCTTTGGCCTGCGACCGACAGAAGTGGAAGGACTTCGTTGCTGCCCTATGCGCCATTGGCGTAACGGGCAGTAAGTAAGTAAGTACATATGTACATAAAATGTATAATTATTAAAAATTTGTATTACAGTAGCATCTAAAGGCCACAACCAGGCTGGGCCCCACTGTGGTAGGCACAGGACAAACATAATAAATGGCAATTCCTGCCCCCAAAGCGTTTACAAATTCTATACAAACTTTGTGCCATACCCTTTGGCACCAAACCTGCAAATGTTTATGCAGTTGCTTAATTTTAGTACCCAGGCAGTCAGATTGACATGGCTTCACGGATTCATGGATAGTAATAAAATTAAGCACAAGCTTATGCTTGTAACTCTGGACTTTTAGTAATGTTCCTCCTTTTCACAAATTGTATGGTCCTCAATCTGTGTTGTAGATTATGGCTACCTCTTTGTTTCTCCAACCACAATCTTTGAGAGATTTGTTTTAAATACTAATCATTTCCCCCAGTTATTCTTCGTGAGTGAAAGCTGCTACTTCTTCAGAAGAGGCGAGTGGATAGTGATCGACTACAAACTCCATGCTGATCAGAGTAAAGGGCTTACCTATCTTTTAATCTTTGGGCCCTTCTCTACACTAGTGTCCTCACCGTTGGCACTACTAATAAACCGTACCTATAGTAGCAAAAGAAAAAAAAAGTCTAGTGTTGTCCCGGCCCTGTTGTCCCACCCTGGGGTGGAAACTACTGACAGGTGTAACTGTTCGAGCCTTAGCCTTCTGCAGAGCAGCCCACACCTCCCCACGTGTAAGGAGAACCTGGGCAGGGCTGTTGTGAATGGGTTCCGCGCGGGACGTGCTGAGCGCTGCAGAAAGCCTGCGCCGTATTTGCGCGCCTAACTGAGCGCTTTGAAAATCTGGCCCTCGACGCGCAGCCTTTAGCCAGGGGTCCGTCCCCGCGTGGACACCCCCAGCCTGACACGCCCACCCCGCGCTCCCAGGTGCGCGCCCTGCCCGCCAGAGGCACTTACTGAGGGTGGCCACGGTGCCGGCCTCCAGCAGCAGGCAGTCGTGGCGGGCCCGCGCTTCC